AAAAAATTTTCTTGTCTAATTTTTCCCCACCCCTGTGCACCCCTGTACTACTGCCACTGCATAGGCCTAATAATGCACTTGTCAATAGTTTCGGCCCATAGCGGGGCACAAGGTGGGACTTTGCCGTTTTTTTCTTCCAGTCTGTCATCTAAATAGACTAGAGCTATGCATTAACACGGCAGCTCGTTTAGTCTCTGGAGTTTCCAGGCGTGAAACTATTTCACCAGTTCTCCATTATCTACACTGGTTACCAATTGGCAAGCGCAAGCAAGGACTTTTAACTGTTACCAGGATAGGAAGCTGGCTGGTTTAAGCCGTCTAACTTGATTTAGCCTTATGTGCGGTATTGTTATGCAAATGAGCCAGATAAGCACAATCTGCACATGCTCAGAAAAACAAAACTTTCCTTAGCCACACTGCGTATCGGCTAGGCGTACAGCAGCTAGGCCTACCTTATCTTATTTTTGTTTGTTACGCACCACTGACTTAGGCTGTTTGTCATCACTTCAAGATGTCTACCTATTCGTAGAAAAGGCGTATTAAAATCCAAATATTGGCGTTTGTGAACAATACATTTTAATTTTATATAGGTAAGTAGTAAGTATATGAATAATTTTAATGCACTAGTTAGTTGATAACTTCATTCTAATTTGTTTTGGGTCTTTTTCTGCATTTCATAAGTGGTTAGACATGGCCTAGGCTGGGTCTAGGCTAGCGTAACCACATCAATTTAAAATCAAATCTGTAGACATACTTGCCTTGTATCTTAACTTGCAGGTGATTTTATTGGTATACTAGTTTGTTTTTAAGTGTGTAAGTATGATTGATTTGCATGCCAAGTGAAATAAGTACTCTCATTTTGCTTTGTTTTACCGTACCGTAATTCTCGGCTAGGCCTAGCTGTACGCCTAGCCGATATGCAGTGTGGCCATGGTGTGGCTAAGGAAAGTTTTGCTTTTCTGAGTATGTGCAGATTGTGCTTATCTGGCTCATTTGCATAACAATACCGCACATAAGGCTAATTCAAGTTAAACCAGCCAGCTTCCTATCCTGGCAACAGTTAAAAGTCCTTGATTCAAGATTCTGCTCATTACGTACAAAGCCCTGCACAACAAGACTCCTGAATAAATTTCTCAACTTCTAACGTCACGTTCCGTAACTTGTAGTAGGTATTTGATATCAACGACCAATAGATTTATACTATCCGTTCCAGCATCGCGACTAAAAACTTACGGTGATAGAGCTTTTTCTGTCGCTGCACCAAGACTTTGGAACACCCTACCAGCGTCTATCCGTAAAGCAACTTCCGTTCATACATTTAAGAAGAAATTAAAAACCCACCATTTTTAAAGTTTATCTTTTTACAATAATTGAGGTTTTAGAATTTTTAAGTGTTCTAGAGTACTTAATTTAAATGTTTTAGAGTATTTAAGTGTTCCTTAAAGTCGCAACTCCCTTACTTCAGCCGGCGTTGCCACCTTAGCAGTGCACGGTAGTAGAGCCGAGGCTTATCCAAGGTGGAAGCTACCGGAGCCCAGCATACTGTCGACGGAATACCTGCGTGTACCCGGTAGTGGTGGTGTCGCCGTCTCAACAACAGAGTGCGCTTTTTCGTGCTGCAGCTTGGTTTTTTTATTCCCTGTCTGCCTGGACATTACACTACACTGGAATTTTATAAGCGAACTAAAATCTTCATTTTTTATCAACCCAAATTTTGACCTTTGACCTCTGAGATGACCTGTGTATAATTAATTGTAGTTTTACTGTCAGTCAGTCAATTCATCATGATCAAAGCTTTCAGTATTAATCCTTTTATAATGCACTATGACGAATTTACAAAAAAATGCGGTTTTTGACAAAAAAAAAACAATTGGCGGCCATCTTGGATTTGAAGGTCAAAACTAGGTCGAATCATCGATCCGAGATCAAAATATGGATTCCTGGACATCAAAAACCCTCAAGTCCATGCACTTAAGCAACCATGTAGGCCAGAACACTGAAACAATAAATTTCAAAATGGCGGAAGGCGGCCATTTTAGATCTAGGGCTCTCACGGGTTATTCCCACACTTTCGCAAGGGACACCCAAGCTATTTTTGTTATAATACCCTCTAGGAAGACAAATCTACTGAAAAACTAAGTTAGCCTCTCCACGGTCACGGAATTGCCAGAAATGACCTAACTACAACTTATTTTCATTACTAAAATTACAATAAAATTTGTCTAGAATATAAAATGCAAAAAAAAAAAAAAAATTGACTGGCATGTTGGACCTAAATGGAGCTAGTTAATTTTTACTTGTGCTTTGTATATCTAATGCTCGCGCATTTTATGCAATGCTACTTTTGCAATAAAATAAAATGAGTCCCCAATTTGTAAGACACATAGAAAGCCCTATTAGTGCCAGCATAATATTATTGTAAAACATAATGTTACTTTTATAATTAAAGAATGAGGGTCAAGTAATCCTTTCTTGTCCAACGAATAATACTTTTATAAAATCACATATTTGGTGAAATTATAAACAATGTGTTGCCCATTAATTATGATATTTGAAAAGAATAGCTAATTCTTTTCCTCTCCACGGACAACTATGTTCCGGAATCATGGACAACCAAGGTTAGAAGTACTGTAGTCAAACATAGAGGAGACCCACTGTCTAACGGTTTTCTGTTGTATAGTGCTCACTCTGCTGAAACAGCACTTACTGACAGACTTCTTTCAGTTGGAGTTTTCTTTGATGCAAGTCTATTTTGTTTGGAATCTGACATACTGTACTCTATTCAACATCAGATATTTCTATCAATCAACATTTTTGGATAAAGTTCTAGAAAAATATTGAGTCAGTAACTTATAATTCTAAAGAGTAAATGTGTACTTCATTATGGCCAAAAAGAAATACTGTTTAATTTTATTTTACAAAGAATAATAATAATGATAATCAAAAGTTTAGAAGATGTACTATCAATCAAAAATAAACGACAGTATATCTCAAAAATTCAAATAAAATTTTAACACTGTTTTTTGTAAAAACATTACGTTGTTAAGAATAAGAGCGCCCTCAGTCTTCACTTAAACTTATTTGTTAGCAGTCGACATGATCTTAGATGCAGACCGAATTCGTTTTCCAGGGGCTGCAGGCTAATAATATTAGCACGTAGTATCTAAAAATAAATATTGCTGGTAATCCTAATGTTATATAAAATCATTTGAATATGTATATAAATAAAATGGTGTACTGTGAGTATCAACAAAACATTATAAAAATGACTTTTGTTTTTCCTTGGGGAAAGACGTATTATATATTGAATAGCGCCACCAAGTCGAAAGTATAGAAAGATAAAAGCACATCACGTTGTTGATATTTGTGTTCATAGGGCTTATATTACTTTAAAAATAGATTAACTATATGGCTTTTTTTCGGCAAGTTTTTCAAGCGTGTACTGCGTAGACCTGTCCTACTGTGGCAGTGAGCGTATGGCGAATCCGCGTTGGTAAGTTTTCTAGGCCTAGGCCACGCCAATATAAACCATAGGCCTATAGTATTATCACTGTAGTGTATATACGAATATTTTTATTTTATTTCGCATTTCTGATTTTTTTTAAAGTCATTTTCAACTTGTAGTATATTTTGCTTTAGCCTGTGTATTGGGAAGTTATTATTTTGCATATAAATATTTTTGTTTTAAACAAAAATAATTTTATCCCAGATCCCAGACGCAAGCCTAGTTCAAACCAATGAAAAATGCAATATAGGATTACATTCGTTCACAATGGTAATTTGTTATCAATGCTATATTAAGAATGAAAGTCACCGATATTGTTTTTTAAACTATTTTTAAATGCCATTTTGAAATTTATAACTTCAAAATCAAAATACATGATTGATTTAAAAATGGAAATTCTAAATCCACTGAACCATCACATTAATAATTATTAGACCCAAAGTATAATTAACTTCCCAACTCTGCCCTGTCATGAAAAATTCACTCACAACTGCATTTAACAAAGTTCTGAGATAATCAACAAAACGTGTTATTGTCTTCGCTCTCTCCATGCGTAAATAATTGAATCCTTATATTCAAACGATTTTAGAGGTTTTATAAGTACTGTTCATTGTTTAGAAATCGTATTTTTAATTACTCTATATAATATGCAATTTATGTCACATTTATTGTTTTTTCATGACATACCGGGTCTCAATCACATGAAAAAAAAAAAAAACACAAAAGACTCCCTCAACTGCAATTGCCAAAAAAGAATCAACTCAACTACAGTATTTATTGAATGTAAAAGCACGTTATATTATTAAATATTATATCAAATTTTGTGAGTAAATTTAGGGTTACGCCCATTTTTTACTATGATGGCAGAGGCATAGAATAGAATACAGAAGCACGCATACTCAATATAGCACCCTGTTTATGATTGTCTAATCTAGGCCTATCTGATTGTCAGGCTTCAAATATTTTGAAGATTGCAGATAATTAGATTTAAATGTGATTATATTTTAAATGAAAATTTTTAAAAAAATTGATTTGCAATTGTATTTGTAGGTTTTTCTGCCATTATTTTTGGACAATGCTCTTTTTATTTTTTTTGTCTTCAAGAAATTCTCTGTTTAATCGTCTTTTATCATTTTTAAAAATTATCTATAATCTATAATTTCCTTTTTTCAGAAATTTATCCTATTTTGTCTTTCACATAATGTTGAATATTAAGCAGAAGAACAATATATGTTGAACTAAATGCAATAAATATAATAATAGTAATAATAATAATAATAATAATAATAATGATAAATAATAATAGGAGAGGCCTAATAATAATTAAGTTAATAATAATAAGGTAATATAGGTAATAAATAGTGCCCTATAATAATCTATCAGAGAGATGTTAGACACTAAATGTATTAAATAAAAAAAAATACAAATTAAAATTAAGAAAAGATGCTTTTTTAGGTGATCCTTAAAAAAACGTCAAGAACTTGCCTCCTTAATAATACATGTTAGGAGCTGGTTCCATAATGGTCCCCTGCCAGAAAAAAGATCGATATTCATATTTTGCTAGTATGACTAATGTCAAAAAAGTATGAGATAATGTTTCCTTAATACCAATATTGTGCACCTGTGAAGATATTGTTTATAATGATTACATTGTGAAAGTAATGTTATATACATTAGACAATCGTCTTTCTCATTGATGAACAATATGCAGCACTATGCAGTTGAGTGGGTTTCTCGTGATAAACTATTACACAATAGGTATTAAATGCCAGTTAATTGAAGTCTTCCATAAAATTTGCAGGTTGAGTGCGTCTTTGCTGACAAAAGTAACACAGACTTGCAGTTGAGTGATATTTTAGTTTTTTAAATTTAATTTTTTCCGTTATAATTTAAAAAATCTGAATACATCACAGGGTGTGTTATGTCTCCAAAAGTGCAAAATGCTGAAAAAGTGCAGTTTGAAAAAAATTGCCAGTTGATTGTTTTTTCATGACAGGGCCGAATTATAAAGGTAATACCATGATATTTTGTCGTTTCCAAAAATTATGGAATTTTGTAAAAGCAATGCTGACACAATGGCAAAATTATTTAGAACAAAGAATGAAGTGTATGTAGATTCTTTTTATTAAATTTAGTTACCAATATAGTAAGCGATGAAAAGGAATAATTACTGTCAAGTTATCTAAAGTAAGAGAATAATTCTATAGAAAGTCTTGCACTCATAACAATCCATTAAACTATCAATAATTCCCATGACTCAACAATTCAAAATATCCTGTATTTTATTTTTTTTTTAAATTGGGCCAAGACCAGAACAATCTAAATTAAATGTTTATGCTACACCCCCCCCCCTGGGTAGCTAGCTACCCCCTATCTTTCATTTGAAAAATCCTCAGATATAGCCCTCCGTGACCAAATACAAAGTAACCTTTGTTTTTTTTTAGGCCTACATAGGCCTATACTTTGTATTTTTTTCTTAAACATAGGTCTACGCCATATATTCAATTCCCATTCCACACACATTCAATCAAACCATTGAACTACACATTTTCAAGCATTTATAATTTACAAGTGATTAACTTTCATTAAAAACACAAGTTAGTTTTTATACTTTTTGCTACGATAATTTAAATGGTTTGAAAGACAACGGCTGAAGTTACAACATGACCAATAATTAAAAATTTAATAACGGTTTAACTATTTAATGTTTTATTATTTGAATTATTATTATTAGTTCAGCACCACAAACAGTATGTATAAGTTCTACTGTTTTCTCTACTCTCTCCGTTCCACGCGCCTCAGGATATTGGTTAAGTAACAATTATTGTTGTGTCTTCTTAATAATGATTATATAATAATAATAATAATAATAATAATAATAATAATAATAATAATAATAATAATAATAATAATAATAATAATCCTGATATTAAAAAATTAATACAGCAAGATCGTATGTAAATTAACTATTCCAGGTACCAATTAAACTTATAGGGCCTGTAACCTGTACATGTTATACTGCGTACGTAGGCTAATGCAACTCAGGCCTTGTTGAAAATACTGAATTTAGACCCAAAAAATTTGTCATTAAAAATAAAATACAACAGTCATGGTTTTTATTCTGATTAAGGATCACACTAGTTTTAACGTATAATAAGAGGATTTAAATTTAACAGCAAAAATAGTTAATAAATGGGCTGCCTACCTTTTTAACCTAGAAATGCCCCAAAAACGAAGTTGGGCGAAAACTTTGGATTACCCTTTCTCCTACATCTTTCAAGCTTCAGTCGATTTAGCGTGATAAACTGGTGCCTGGGTACGTCATCTAATAAATATTCATGATTTTTTCGTTGAAATTTCTTAAAATTAATTTCTATTGGCTGTAATCCGTGACGTATTTTTACGTTATTTTTCGTAAAATACGCCTTTGTGTATATAAAAAATGTTTTTTCTCCCAAGCCTGACTTTAAGTATCTGTGTAAAACAATAAAGCAAAGTTATAATTTAGCTGCTCAAAAAATTGATGGGATATTTTTACTTTAATTTATAATTGTAAATTAAATCTATTCAAATGTGGAATTAACATTTTTAGTTTATTTTTTTTAAACAGGTAGTAGGCCCTACATCTTTAACGACTACATTGGGTTGTACTGCATGATGTCGTGTGGTTTTTTTCGAAATTGACAGGTTATTTTTTATTTATTTTTTTTTTTGGCAATAAAATCAAGAGAATTACAACTTACACCTCGACGAATTTTGTTTTTTCCCCGACGACGGGGAAGGGAGGGGGCGGTGCTGCCCCCCCCCCCCGCTGGTGCCACCACTGCATGCATTATGTGAAGCCCATTTACCGAGTACAATTAACAAAGTATTAAGGTTAGGTTGTAATAATGTCGTATCGGAGATACCGTTATAATAGTGACTGACAGGGAAAGCACATAATATTATTTGATCATGGCCTAGAAACAGACCATGTTAACCTACAATCATTTTAAAAGTTGTTCAGATAGGCTAGGCTGAGAAAAAAAACTAACATTCAATCTATTTGTGGTTCGATCATGGTTTTAACCTCGCGAAACATTTTTGTACAAATACGCGTTCTTCATAATTTAGGCTGGAGGCAATATCAACAAGATCTCATATTTATGATCCTTGACATGAAATAATACTTTTTTTTTGTATATACAAACATAATACTAAATAGGCCTACTTATTTCACAAAATTAAGAAAAAAATCACCTTTCAAGATGGGAGAAACATTGAATATTGAAAAACTTAAAAATCATTCAGACCTTCTGATGTCGGGAATGCTCGTTTCCGGTCATCTAAGAACAAAAATTCCACGGGGAATTACAAATTTAGAACTATCTGCTTCAAATTCTGAATCCTCTCCTGATATTACTTAACGGTAGATCAGCTGACATGTTTTTTTTGTTTTTGTTTTTTTTTTATGTCTAAATCTAGTTTATATTCTATATGATGATGTGATGATTGTATTCAACTTACCCAGTTTTCGTATGCTAAGTTTTCTGTTGTTGCATTATCTACCATTAATGACAATACATCATTTGACGCATTTTTCCAAACAGCGGTCATTAAAGGCGTCTCATGTTTCTACAAAAAACACAATTTACTGAATAACGATGTAAGAAACAACATCCGTCACGTATAAGAAACAAATAAAACATTGCATAGGTAGACCGATAACTTCTATTTTCGAAATATCCAATAAGAAAAGCTTGTCATAGAAACTTTTAAAAGGCAAATCATCGGAAATTACTGAAATAGTATATTTTAAGAACTGTATATACTTGTATTTATGTAGATTAATCAAAAATTGTAAAAAAATAACATTAAAACTCTCCACCCCCTCGCTCTCCTTTTCTCTCTTACTTTCGCTCTTTTTTATTATTTTAGTAGCACGTTATATCGTTACAAACATTTATATTTTTTTCAAAATAATAATAGGAATTTAAGCATTCAATGATTGTCAAATATTTTAGCCATGGAATGAGATATACCAACAGGTATTTTGTGTATTTACTATACTTTCGAATTAATCGTCATTACGAAATTACGAGCAGAGTGACTCCTCAATCAAAGACGAGTACAAACCTCATCGTAAGTGTTAATTAGGTGTTTGTCAGTGTTACATATGTTCTTTACTGCTTGCCAGTTTCCACTTCTTATATTTTCCACTAACTTGTTTCTGCAAAAGAACAAAAAATCGTTTCTTTTACTTTGAAAAAATAAGCTACATAAACTTTGATAAAAAAAAAAAACAAAAACAAAAAACAAAAAAAAAACTTGGTTGTTAAACAATGTTAACTATAAACAACATTGAAGTCATTACGATCATCCTTTTGAAATATCACCATCCTAAACATTATCATTACCTTATTCATCATAGTCAACGATCAATTTTGAAATAATATGTCATAATAGGTCACTTTGCTAACAAAAATGCCCTACTATGTATTTTATTATTTCAAAAGTATGAATGTATAATAAATAAATCACTGTCTTGTAGACCATGAGCTGGTAACCGTGCAAACCCCAACAGTTAAACTTCCTTAGTATCACGTTGTTCCTTCAGGCATATAGATTCAAAAAAATTGATGTTAACAGGAAAAATATAGGGATGCACTGTATGTACTCGCGTCATTTGTAATGAGTGTTAGTGTTTATGGTCAATACTTTTTTGGGGGAAGGGTTAGAATTTATGCCAATAACCTGTGAATGAAAAGGCTCATCAATATTTTGTGTAGCATATATTTTACTTAGATTAACTAAAATTAATCCGACAAATATTAACGTTACCAGAGGTCAAAAGGTCATCGACCTTTTTACCAAAATGCAATTTTTTTGCATAAAATATCAATAAACTTAAACGTCATATCTTTACTTTTGGATGTGTTTGATACAAATTGTATTTTTTTTTTTGTACTTATTGAAATAAAAATTAAAATGCATTATGTACTATTGTCATTGGTTATGATCTTAGAAATGTATAATCAGGTTTTGTGGAAGGGGTGTCATTTATGCTCATAACTCTTAATTTATTCAATGGATGTGTATGATGTTAGTACTAACATTTAGCTTATAGATTGGTCAGTCATTCAAATCGAAAAGGTTGAAAAAGGCAGAAATTTAAGTAACTAGAGGTCAAAGGTCATTGACCTCCCAATTCAGTCAAAAACGTTTACAAATTTACAGTTGTATGTACAGAATATGGAATTTAAAAAAATATATATTTACAAGAAAAATGTATTAATTGATTAAATGTACTACTGTCATTGGGTTTTGATCCTAGAAATTTGTAATCAATAACAGTTTTTGGGGTAGGGGTAACATTAATGCTCATAACTCTTAATTTAGTCAATTGATTTGTATGATGTTTGTATTACCATTTAGCCTATAGATGATCATTTATTTAAATTGGAAACAAGTTTTGAAACAAGTAGAATGAAGTAACTAGAGGTTAAAAGATCATTGCCCTCCACAAAAAAGTTGTAAATTTATTTTCAATTCACTCACAAACGTTTACAAATCTACAGATCTAAGTATATTTCATACCAATTACAAATAAGCATATCGAATATAAACAATAAGATATTAACAAGAAAAAATGTATAAATTAATATATATATATATATATATATGTATATATAATATTCATATATACATATATTCATATATACATATATATATATAAACATATAAACATTATATATATACATATATACATATATATACATATACAAAATACATACATACATACATATATACATATATACATACATATATACATACAT